TACCACTTTTCCTTTTCTGCTTAACTTGCATGGATAGCTTTGTATAGCTGGCTGGAGAAACATCATTAATATTTCCAAACAGAGGATCTGAAACAATTTTGACTTGTTTTTCAATGAAATTCACAAAATCAACAAACACTGCTCTGCTTCCAGTTTGTTCCAGTATGTCACATGCCACATTTCTCCACTTTTCCCTCAGCTTATATGGGAGTTTCATTAGGATCGTCCTGAGGTTAGCTGGCATGTCCAACTCCTTCATATACTTTACATGATGTACTATATTGGAGCAACCTCGAAGGAACAAAGCAAATGACTGCAAAGCATTAACATCCTCAGGTTTTATTGAGGGCCAGTTGTTGATTTTGTCCATGTAAGCCGAAGAGATTTTATGTTCACTGCCAAAATGTTCAATCAAAAGCGTTTTTGCTCTTTGATAACCTGGTTCAGAGGGCATATGCTGACAACTTCTTACAATGTCTCTTGGTTGCCCTCTAGTGTACTGTTCTAGGAAGTACAGACAATCACTGAAATTTTGAGTTTTATCCTCAATGCAATTTTCAAAGGCTCTGAGAAAAGATTTGAAATACAGGGGATCTCCATCAAATACAGGTATATTTCTCATAGGCAGAGCAGAGGCTGTGTTTTGTTGGACCAACAGCGCGGTTATTTCATTTTGACGCTGCATGATGTTCAAAATGTCCGGAGAATTGATGGATGGATTATCGTCACAAACATCTTGCAAACCCGGTGATTGTGTATCTTGCCTTTGAAACACAGGAATGACATTAGGTATGGGTAGTTGTTTTACAACATGTTTGGGTTGAACACCAACAGGGACAGAATTTAACAAGCGACTGGAGGTAGGTTCAGAGCTTTTATTGGTGGGCACATAGCGTTCAGCATTCGGATTTAGTTCATATGTCCTTTGAGTTTCTGACCTTTTCAAGTAAGAATTCATGCCATCTGATGTTTGAGATGCACATCTTGACACTTTAGAGCCACACTTTGAGCTTACTTCCAGAACCTCCAATTTCGCATTTGTCACCTTTAATTCTGCCTCCAGAGCAAGTTGTTCCTTTTCTCTCCTTAAATGTTCCCGTTTCTTCCGTAAGTCCTCTTGTTCAAGTCGTATTTGTTCCTCCTGATCCTCCAAAATATGCCTTTGTTTTAGAGCAGCCATGCGTTCCTGTAACGCTGCTCTTTCTGCTTGCACTAATATTTTTGCAGATGCACTGGATGAAGTCTTTGACAGTTTAGAACCAGCCTTTGAACGCGTTTCAGAACCTTTATTGGATACACTGTCCTCAGGCCCAATATCAGTTGGATTATCAGGTGGTTTAATTGGAAGTTCATATGAATGGCCTGTGTTTGATAACCAACCTTTGACGTCATCAATAAAGCTTGAAAAACACTTTTCCTTTTGTTCAAAATATTTATCTTGTTTCTCCTTCTCCTCCTGAGGTATGTCCAGTGACACAAATGACAAATGATGTTGTTTTGCCTCATCAACACATATTATTATTTGATCCAAAAGAGACTTGACTGCATCAATATTGTCTGCAGAATGCATCAACTTATCCATCTGATTCATGTACGATTTGGCTCGTCTGCATTGCACCGATCTCTTTTCCTGACACGTTTGCATAAAAAACATCATTCCTTTAGCAGTAAAACTTGTGCGTCTTCTTGTAGGAAGCGCCGTGTCGCTTGTGGCTTTAGATGCAACGTCAGACATTTTACCCTTTGTTGATGTCGGTCATGTACACACACAGTTGCTTGCAAAGAGTGTGTAAAGCACATACCTTGTGGAACTTCGTTTGTTGCGGTGGTTGCCTTCGTGCACGGAATTGAATGAACGCAGTAGCTGTTGTTGCGCGCGGCTGTGCGCATCACCTGTGAAGGCTTTGGGCCTTTGCGAATTCAAATTGCAGCAAATAATACCCTCCACTTCGTAGTGCAGCTCCAGCGCTCCAGTAGCTTCACCGTTATCCAGTACGGTGTCCAGGGAAATTTTACACTGTCGGATGGGTCGTATTATTCCATGTTTGCACTGCATCCAGCCCCCTGGCTCCGTCACTCCTAGGCCCTTTCCTTTGTTTGTCTCCCACATCCAGGTGAGTAATCCACTTTCGAAACGGCAATTCAGCAAACGACAAGTCCAGTATCCACGCAAACCAACAATATATCCAGGGCAGGTTTTTTACTTAATGTAGTGGCGATTTGTCCATAACCTACTTATGCAAATGAACATAACACCATGTGACCAACAAACGAAATTGCAAGTAAAGCATAAATACAAAATAAACCAAATTAACTTTAACAAGAAAAGAAATAAATTGGGCTATAAATTAACTTAAGCCCAAAATAAAAAAAAATAAGAATATAGCTCCAACAGAGAGTTTTTATCAACAAAGAAAGAATCTGCTGAAGTATTTGACGCCTTCAGTCAGGTGCAGTAATGCTTTTTAGAAATACTGACCTCCACCTACTTCCACGTCCCTCTCCAATCCAGCTGAATCAACACTTGGACAAATCTCTTGACATCCTCCAAACAATAATAAGAATGTACTTTTTCTGCATGACATTGTGTATTATGTCAAGTGAATTTCTAAATCCAACAGCAAAGAAGCTGCAAAAACTCTCAACACGTGGTCCTCTTTCTTTTTGTAATATACCCCAAGCTTTAGTTCTTATTATTTGTGTCATATATATTTGTGTAATGTTATACCTATCTATGTCCCATGTAAAATGTGTAACCCTGTTTGCAATAAAGATTTAAAAAAGCTAATTACAGCCATTTTTGATACTAATGTGCATCCACAATTCAAAGGTAACTTTTGTTGAACAGTAAATGCTTCACAGACAAAAACTGTACCTATAATTTCAGTCCACCACCCCGTCTATGGGCCTACGTCCCATCCGCCGTCTGGCCGAGAACGTCAAACGTCATTTGATTTTAAATGTGTTCATCTGACGGGCATCTGACAGCCTTACTCATCACGTCTTGGGGTTTTTGGTTCTTTCGTATGAAACTTCCTGTATTACATTTATTGAAAGCGACTTACAGCTGCTATATTTATCAGAGGTCGCACACCTCTGGAGCAACGAGGGGTTAAGTCTCTTGCTCTGAGACACATTGGTGGATGGGTCAAAGTGTGGTCTCTCACACCAAAGGCATGTGTCTTATCTACTGCGCCATCAGGAACACCCGTTGTGTTTCTTATTTGCATTCATATATTTTTGTTACTCACACTTTCCCTTCTGGAAGAAATATTGTGAGCCAGCTGTCTTGTCTGTCACTGGGGACAGTGACCCGTTTCCTGTGTCTGCACCACGGCAGAACGGGACACTATCTGCTTCAGCAGGTTCAGAATATCTTGAGATGAAAAGGCCTCTAACATAAACTTTTCTCTATCAATGTGATTTTTTTATTTTTTATGAATCAACATGAAACACTTTGTTTTATTTGTTGTTATATTTCATTAATAACTTCTAATTATTTTTCTATGCAGATATGTTTACTGATACAAATTCCCCCTGAGAAATAGTTTTTATTTTGTTGAGGACATTCCTGTTTGTAAATGTCTGTGCTCACCTTTTTGCAGCCAAACTGAATTATATTAATGAGTTCAGTTCCCTGTGAATAAGAAGTGGAAAGTAACAAATTACAATTACTCAGGTTACTGTAATTGAGTAGTTTTTATTTTCTTGTACTTTTTAAATCTGTAATTTTAGTATGTTTACTTTAAAGTGTTTTCAATCACATCCGTCACGGCTCAGAGTTTCTTTCTCCTGTTTCTACCGAGAGATTAGGAGGCCGGCGAGAACGGGAACAGGTGAGCATCACATGGTGCCTAGAGAACCTGATATGGAGACGGCACCCGTACCCAAGAAAACTCCCACTACGCCAAAGAGTAAAAAGTAGAAGTAGTGACCTACTTTAAGCACTGCCAACAATCAAAGTTGACACCACAAAGGTCCAGACGATCCAGTCCAGTAAAACATTCAGTCCAAAACGCATTTTTATATCAATAAATACACACGGACTGCTGGTACATCGTTTAACTGCAGTTAGCATGTAAACAAATAAACGGTACACCTTTGACCTTTTGAGTGACACCTTCATTCACCCAATAGAAACCTCGATGCCCTGTCCACGGGCTTCAATAGCCAATGAGTGTCCACGTAGTCAGGAAGTGCCAGTCCCCTTCTTTTGCGCACACTGACAGAGATTGTGCTGAGGACTGGCGCTTCACACACACATATCACGCGACTGTTAAAAAAATACACAAGAATATTTTCCATTTACATAATTATGTATTGTCAAATATAAAAAGGCCCCACGGCGGAATTCCAGCACTGTGCCGGAGAACTTATCACTTATATGTATATTGTACTGTGTTTGTATAACGGTACACGCACTCATGCACGAATGAAGTTCCTAACGGATAAATAAAGTTCTTTGAATTTGAATTGAAACATATTGGGTGAGTTTTGCTCAAGCAGGAAGCTTCTGGTCTGAGACGCGAAGCCAATGCGGAGGTTCCATAAACCTGCATTCTATAAAACGGCCAGCAGGGGGCGACTCTTCCGGTTTCAAAAAGAAGTCCGGCTCCATCAGAAATGATGGTAAAATGTTTCTACTTGTCAGCTGATTTATTCCCTCAGTAAACACTTTCCTGATGAGTTTATGGTCTCAGTCGCTAGTTTCAAGTCTTCTTCAACACAGCATGATGTTCATTTAGTAAATTATGGTCCCATTTAGAGGAACAGAGACCAGAGTATGCTTCATGGCAGGACTATGGCGACCTGTCAATCTAGGCTTAAGTAATGTTATTAACCATTTCCTTTGATTGTGTTTGATTACATAACATGTAATGTTGCCAAAGCACATGGTCTATGACCACAAATGCCTGCTACAGCACTGTGTTGCTTGTACATATATTTTCTGTGACATCTAGTTTACTGTTGCGAAATAAAATGAAGACATAGAAAATGACTAATCTTATGAAAAATTTATTCCATGTAAACACTGTTTTCATTTAGAAAAGAGAAACAATATAAAAATTTAAAAACTATCATTGCAAGTCAGTGGGAATTAAACATTACATTGGCAGCATTAAGTTTAAACAACATGTATCTTTGATCAATTCACAGTGAGCTAGGATGGGAATCGAACCTGGGTATGCAAAGATAACCGTTGCTTTCAAGACCAACTCAGTAGGTAATGAACTATCACATAGTTTACAAAGCTCACAATTTGATGCTTTGTTGATAGAAAAGTGCGTTTGCCTTAAAAACACACAGCAGCATGACTGACGCCTCTGATTAGCTTTATAGAGCACATGTAACGTTAGCCTCAGCTCAGAAATGTGGTTATAAACAGACACAATCCACTACGAGACAGGAAATAAATAAACTTCTTGTTTTACAGCAAAATCAGAAATAACATGTGACAGCAGAGCTTCATTCAGCTGCGTTCAGGAGCTCCGATGTTTGTAAACAACAGGGAAAATAATAAATCAATTTTGACAAAACAGCCAATGGAAATGATTTTGCTGACTGCAGACAGTTTAAGCTGCACGGCAGAAACGCAGCGTTCCTCCACATCGAACTCTCATTGGACGATGAGAGAAGTGCAAACAGCTGCATGTTTTGTAACACCACTGAATGATCCTTCAGGAAGTCAAACTACCTGATGACAGAGCAGGAACACGTGAATCTGTGACGGTCAGTTATTAAGTCAGGAGGCTGATCGGTGTACGTTCAGTTTAGTTCAGGTACATGAAGCTCAAAGTGATGCGGTATAAAGTCCTACAAACTCCAAAAGGATCCTACAGTTGATTGACTGCAGAGTTGTTGTTTAGACTGCATCAGCTTTAGCTCGGGGTTCCTAATAAACTGATCAGACTTTTTTTTACCACAACCAGATATATTCTCTTTACTTTTACTCCGCACAAGGTATCATGATGTTTGGCTTTCTGAAGGATCTGACGTCTTGTGGTTTCATTAAATCTGTCTTTTGTTTCTGACGGGTTTTAAGAGGCTTTAACTCTAAATAAAAATATAATTAGAAGTCGTCGTTCACAGCAGGAAGGCGACAGTAAACTGTGGTAACAGAACAGTGAGAGTGCAGCGACTGAAATGAAAAGAGGAGGAGGTTACTAATGGCTGCAGTGAGGAGAGTCAGCTGGTTATTAACACCGTCCCAGAGGGGGCAGCAGTCAGCAGTAGTAGTAACATTAACAACGTTATTAGGTAACATTATAAGATTATTAACTGTAATAATCTTATAATAATATAAGCTCACACTGTCAACAGTTGAACATTAAATGTTGGAACTTTCTAAAGCAGCGCTGAGACTTTAAGTGTGTTTCAGTTATGAAATTAAAGCTAGTTTTTCCTTTTAGAATTGAACTCTTCTTCAGTTTCTTTCCTCAAAGCTGCCAGAACTTTAGCTTTAGTGTAAGCTGCGTTTAAGCTGTAACACCTTCCTAGTGAAAAGAACTTAACAACAAAGACAGAGGAAGTAACAGCAGAACCATGTTCGGTGTTACCGCAGCGCCATCTGATGGTCCAGGAGGAGGAGTCGCTGCTTCAACACGTTTATCTGCAACATGAACACAAACAATGATCCTGAATCTTCACTGCAACTTCGTGAGAATTTGTATTGTGATGCTGAAACAGTGAAAACATACAGCGGCATCTCATAAAATTACACACACTCATTACCCATAAAGTGAAATATTTCAGGCCTTTTTTTTGTTTTAGTCTTGAAGATTACAGCTTATCTCTCATGGAAATCAAACATCCATTCCTCAAAATATTAGAATAAAGAATTAAATATCAACCTGAGAAGAGCTTTTAATCTTTCAGTCTGGTTCAGCTCCTTGAGCCGTAATCATTACGAGAGATGAACTACAGGCAGTCGAAAAAAGTGCACAATGCACTTTGGATAAATGTTTGGACAGATTGCTTGTGTTTTCTCCCTTGCACAAGTCTTGTTGCACTAGTTGAAACGAGCTTTGTCAGCATCGACTCTGTTGAAGTCAAACCTTCTCTCCGCCATCATCACTAATGCAGAGCGGGGTCTCTTGTGTACGTTTGTGCTGTACTGTGAGAGAGAGAGAACAAACCCTGCACTTTGCTTTTATACTTTAATGTTGCAGTAATAGAAACAACATTTAGTTATATTTAACTTATTCAGTTCTACTCCTATAGTGAACTTAAAGACAACCAGCCAGCTAATATTATTCTATGTTTATTTATTTATTTTAAGTCAAAATTGAACAATGTTATTGCACATTGCAGATTTCGTTTTTCTGGTCATTTGGTTTAAGTGCTGTGAAAAGGCCCTTCTATTGCTGGGGGAAACCCAGACTTTTATAAACTGCATACACATTTTGAAAGATTCCCCGATATTCAACATTTTACAGTTGATTCTATTTTTATTTACATTTACTCATTTAGATGACGCTTTTATCCAATGCGGATAAAATATAAAAAGGCAGTGGATACGACACATGCCTTTGGTGTGAGAGACCCGGGTTCGAATCCCCACTGTGATCCATCCACCATTGTGTCCCTGAGCAAAACACTCCTGGTAACTCCTAGATGCTCCAGAGGCTTGTGACCTCTGACATGTATAGCAATCGCTTTGGATAAAAGCGTCAGCGAAATGAGTAAACGTAATGTAACAACTGAGCCTGAAAGTCAGCGGAAGAGATGCGACTGAAAGCTCCAGAACAGCTGCTAAATGGAGGTGAAATTTGTGCCCCATAGAGTCAGATTAGATTGTTATGTTAAGTTCTTCTTTCAAACTCAGCAGAACTCTTTGATGTGCACATCAGGGAGAAACACCTTTGTTTGTGTTCAGTGTCAGTGTCTGCTGCCACCTGCTGGTCTGTCCTGGCACTGTTACAAACCTCTGAAAGCACTGAGGAGTCTACAAACCTGAGACGCTGAGGGAGATTTGCAGCTGGAAGTCCACCTTTGGGATGTGGCACTCATACGGGCCGCTGTCCGACTGCTGGACGTTCTTCATGAAGATGGAGAAGTTCCCTTTCTTGTAGAACTCTTGGAAACTGGACACTCGACCTTTGAATTTCTGGTTCTGGGTTAAATTGTATGGTACATTTCTTATAATGTCCAGTACAATCCAGTCGTTTTGGTCCCTCCAGAAGACGGAGACAGGGTCTAGTAGAAGGTGGACCTCCCTGTAGATGCAGGGCAGCAGGACGGTGTCTCCGATGAATCCTTCGATTTTATCCTGGCAGGTCACTGAGAGACAACAGAAAAGGATTCTGGTATTTAAAAGTGTTTTCTCTCTGTTGGATGCAAATCAACAGAATTTATTCATCAATTAATAAAATAGAAACTAAGTGAACAGAAGAAAAGTCTAAATTAAATCAGTATATGGTGTGACCACTGTTGCCTTTTAGGTACACTTGCACAAAGTTTTAAAGAAACTCTTGCCACTCCTCCATGCTTGCTTCAGAGCTGCCAGTTAAACATGACGTGTAGCAGAAACACGTCTATCAACATCATGACACGTAGAAACAGCTTGAGGTTGCAACAGACATCATATGTTGAGACAAACAGTCACAGGTTAAAGCAGCATGCAGGAGTCCAGTAACTCTTTGGCTGTAAAAAGGAAATCATTTCAGGGTTCATCATCAGTGTAAGATGTGTTTCCCCTAGGATTTTCTTCAGGGGGTTGAAACTAACTGTGTCTTGGACCGGGTGCTCTCACCTGGGCAGTGGGCATCCTTGGTACAAAGCTTGACCAAACGTATGTTTAAATTTTTTCCAACAGAATATCTGACTCACACAGCCACGGAGTCTACAAAGAGCTTTAGTCTTGCATCTGCCAATGTGCCAAAAATTTTAGTCTGAAGACTTTTTCTGAGTGCAAACTATCCTTTCTTGTTCTTTAATGCAGTAAACATATTTTAAACTGAATGATAAAAACAAAGATCAGCTGAACACCAGCCCTCTGAGCTTTACAAAAGCTGCTTTACTTTTTGCAACTAAATCCACAGTTTCAGTGGTTTCCTCCTGTTCCTCACTTATTTTCAACTTGTTGTGGACTAACAGAGCTTTGGTTGTTTGATAATCTGATCAATAACAGTACTGTGATTGGTGGTTCACTGCGCATGCAGAGCCTGCTGGTCACTAACAAACAAACTCTGAGTCTCCAAGAACCCTCAAATCAGAGTAAATGATGTTCCATCAGACTTCTCTTGTAGATCAGTCAAGGAAAATGAGAACTGTGTGAACTTTCCTTTTGTATCAAGCAGCAAAAAAGTTGAGTTGGTTGTGTTAATTTCACTTGCTTAATGTTGCACGTCCTGCAATGTGACTACTGCGCATGTTCACGCTGTGACGACGACGCTGAAACGACATACTGAGCAGCCGTACTGCAGACTCACTTGTTGTTTTGGTTTTCAGAGGCTTCCTCATGAACAAACCTCCTCCTCATGCTGCAGCTCTGCAGCTGAAAACTGACTTCTTTCATTAACTTTATAAAACAGCCTGCTGCTGATGGAGAAACTCGACACAGACAGGAAGAGACGGGGCCGGCCGGCGTGTCTGCAGCAGAGGTGAGAAAACCAGAACTGAAGGGAACAAAAATGACTTTTTAATTAAAGGCTGCAGCTCTATTTAGTAGCTGTTTAGTGTGAAACTGTCTATTGTGTAAAGATCTCGAGCTGCATAACTTCTGTCTGCTGATGAAGATCAAGTGATCAAAAGCTGGAGCAGCTACTGAATGGACCCTGATGGGAGATTATGTTGTTGACATATTTTCTGGTTTGTGTTGCTGCTGCCTGTCTCATAAAAAAAAACACAAACATTTTCAGTCAATTGAAGCTTTTCTGGTTCAATCAAACCTAAAAACATTTATTAACATTTAGAAAAACTCACCTGTGTTCACTCTGTACAGCAACAACAGCCACAGCAGAAACTCTCCTCCCAACCTGTGGAGACACAAGTTAATAAACGTTAATAAATTGAAAGACGTCTTCACAGCAAACTCACTCAAAACCAGTTGTTCAAAGTCAAAACCACAACTGTCTGCTGCTGCAGGAGTTGCTTCATATACAAGATGTGTATGAAGTGTTGTTGGGCTGAAGCTGAGGAAGGTTTGACTCACAGGAAGTTCTGCAAAACAGGTTTAGCAAATGAGAGAACTGAAAGAAAACTAAAAAATCCACGAGTCAACAAGGAAACTAAGTGTAGCTGAAGGACTCCTGCCCCTCCTGCTGCAGGTCAGATTAGTTTCATCACTCAGTAAACTGGACTTTATGCAGAGACCAGGTCCTGATGTTCCACTTCACTGTTTCATAACTCCTCATGTTCAGGAGGTGAGAGGTCACGTCTCCTTCTCTGACCTTCAGCCTCACAGACTCAGCACACATTAACTTAACACTTAATATCTGACCTGCTGTCCTGTTGGCCTTTTATACCTCGTATGGTTGTTGATGTTAAAGTTAAACAGAATATTAATCACAATGTGACTTTGTGGGATTTAGAAGTTATATATTTATTCCTGAGCTTGGTACACTTCCGTTAATTAACCCTAACTAGCTAATTAACTAGCCTAAGCATGCTAATTAGCAGGTTTGTTCTTTACAGGAAGTTTAAACAACTTAAATCAGCAACTATTTAAAATATATAAATCCCAAAGTCTCTTTTGGGCCTCGGAGTTACATATTTAAGCCGCTTAGGCCTCATTCGGCTCCTTAAAGTCGCCTAACGATACTGAACAATGACGAAGTTTCACTTCCTCACTCGACAGTATGTCTATGAAGATTCTCAGTCATCCAGGTCATAGTTATCCAACGAAGGTTAAAATGAAGGGCAACTGGACTTGGTTGAAGATACTGGAAGACGTTTCGTCCCTTATCCAAAGGACTTCTTCAGTTCTGACTGACTGGCAGGGAAACTCAGCTATTTAACCTCAGTGGGGTCGTTATCCCGGGTCATCGATACCGCTGGTTCGTTAGTGTTCCTTGTTGCTGTGACGACAGTCGTTACGGTCGTTAAGACTACCTGTGGCCAAGACTGAACGACCATCGTTGGTATCTTCACCTGAGGCCAATAGGTTACATTTGTTGAGTTTCCTGGGAAGTGATGAAAGGACAGCATTGTAAGTGGGGGATAAGTGGTGGCGTAGACCCCCTCCCCTGTTCAATGACGGCTTCTCAACCCTGGTGTAGATGCTTCCTTGACACCTCTTTCAAACCATCCATCTTCTCTGTCTAAAATGTGCACCTGGTGGTCCTCAAACGAGTGTCCTCTGTCCTTCAGATGTAAGTAGACTGCAGAGGAAGATGCACGGTAGTACTTAACACAGCAGACTACCAGAACAAAGTCAACACACTACTAATGGACACAAACACGTATGAGACACTGAGACGAGACCCAACCAGCGGATACAAGAAAAAGGCCATAAATGTCTACAACAGTTACAGAAGGACAACACCATCACCCGTGAACAATATTACCGTTTGTATCCTGGAGAAGCCATTCCATGCATTTATGGACTACCCAAGATACACAAAGAAGGAGCCCCACTCAGGCCGATTATCAGCAGCATTAACTCGGTCACCTACAACATTGCCAAACACATTTCCACCATCTTAGCGCCATTGGTGGGAAACACGCCTCACCACGTCCAAAACTCTATTGACTTTGTGAACAAAGTTCGAGGACTAAAACTGGATCCAGATGAAACCATGGTATCCTATGACGTGACTTCTTTGTTCACCTGCATCCCACCATAGAGGCAGTAGAAACCGTTAGGAAACGGCTAACACAAGACAACACCCTGGACAACAGAACTAGCCTCAGCCCTGACCAAATCTGCAAATTACTCGACCTCTGTCTAAACACCACCTACTTCCAGTACAACGGAGGATTCTACAGACAGAAGCATGGCTGTGCCATGGGCTCACCGGTAACCCCGATTGTGGCCAACATCTACATGAAAGAAGTGGAGAATAAAGCCCTCAACTCCTTCAGAGGAACAGCACCGAGCCACTGGTACAGATATGTGGACGACACCTGGGTCAAAATTAAAAGCCAGGAAGTGCAAGCCTTCACAGAACACATCAACTCTGTGGACAGTAACATCAAGTTCACACGAGAAGATGTTCACAACAACAGTTTGGCCTTCCTGGACTGCGCTGTACACATTGAAGAGGACAGGAGCCTGCAGATTGGTGTTTACAGAAAACCCACACACACAGACCAATACCTACTCTTCGATTCCCACCACCCACTGGAGCACAAGCTAGGGGTCATGAGAACACTGCACCACAGAGCGGAAAACATACCAACAAGCGCCCAAGCCAGAGAGAAGGAACAGAAACACCTGAAGGGGGCACTTACAGCCTGTGGATACCCTAAATGGACCTTTGTGAAAACAGCCAAAAGATCCAAGAAGAACAAAACTACAGGGGAGGAAAAGAAGGTCAAACGCAACAACATTGTGATTCCATACGTGTCTGGAGTATCAGAGAAACTCAGGAGGATTTTCAACAAACATAACATCCCTGTGTTTTTTAAACCCAAGAACACACTAAGACAGATGCTGGTCACCCCAAAGACCGCACACCCAAACACATGAAAAGCAATCTAGTGTATGCGGTCCAATGCAGTGAGGAATGCACAGACCTGTATATTGGGGAGACTAAACAACCACGACACAAACGCATGGCTCAACACAGAAGGGCCAACTCCTCAGGTCAAGACTCTGCAGTCTACTTACATCTGAAGGACAGAGGACACTCGTTTGAGGACCACCAGGTGCACATTTTAGACAGAGAAGATGGATGGTTTGAAAGAGGTGTCAAGGAAGCATCTACACCAGGGTGGAGAAGCCGTCATTGAACAGGGAGGGGGTCTACGCCACCACTTATCCCCCACTTACAATGCTGTCCTTTCATCACTTCCCAGGAAACTCAACAAACGTAACCTCTTGGCCTCAGGTGAAGATACCAACGATGGTCGTTCAGTCTTGGCCACAGGTAGTCTTAACGACTGTAATGACTGTTGTCACAGCAACAAGGAACACTAACGAACCAGCGGTATCGATGACCCGGGATAACGACCCCACTGAGGTTAAATAGCTGAGTTTCCCTGCCAGTCAGTCAGAACTGAAGAAGTCCTTTGGATAAGGGACGAAACGTCTTCCAGTAGCTTCAACCAAGTCCAGTTGCCCTTGACTTTAACCTTCGTTGGATCACTGGACAGTAAACAAAGCTGGCTAGCTGCTAATGCTAGCTCGCTAGTTAGCCTTCAGTTGTAGTGACAGGAGACTTCCGGCCTTTTCTCTCTCCTGTTAACTGACCTCGTCAAAGCGCTCATGTTGTTCAGAGGTCCGCTACAGGCAGAAACTTGTACACATGTGTATTAAACTGTTTCAGGCCCTGAAGTGAGCTCGACCTCCACCCTTAAAGAAACGTCTCCTCTTACGTCACCTACGCAGCAGGCCCGACGTCACACGTCACACGCCAGCGTAAAGGCCGTAAAGCTCATTATACTGAATTTATCTGTCTTGACCTTCACTAATTTACCGATACTTCATTTAATCAAATTGTGCCATCTGGAATTTATTTCTTTTTATATTTCCTCTCGTTTTGTTGCTCTGAGCTTTATTTTGAACTGTAATTACAATTTTGACAAACTCCCTGTTAAACTCTCCACATTCAACTCTCTGAAATATAAAAACACAATTTCTCACCACACAGGTGTTTTATTTGGAATAACAAATTGCTGTTCTTTTTTTTTTTTTAAAGCTTACAAAATGAGAATCTGCTGGTGACCCAGCTGTTCAGTAGAGAGGGGCGACGGCTCTCTTATAGAGAGTTTTTATCAACAAAGAAAGAATCTGCTGAAGTATTTGACGCCTTCAGTCAGGTGCAGTAATGCTTTTTAGAAATACTGACCTCCACCTACTTCCACGTCCCTCTCCAATCCAGCTGAATCAGTTGGAAACATCTGTTTCTCTCAGCATCCTCCCAATAATAATATTGTGTATTATGTCACTTTCATTTCTAAATCCAACAGCAAAGAAGCTGCGAAAACTAGTTTTAGTTCTTATTATTCATATCTGTGTAATGTTATTTATTCCCATCTATGTAAACTCATGTAAAATGTGTTGCCCTGTTTGCAATAAAGAGTCTACAGCTCCTGCAGTCAGATGGAAGCTGGTTTGAAATATCAACAGGCAACATTGTGAAACCAACAAAACTAGAGAAGTTTCCTTCATAATTATACATTTCAATTCTCCTGTGAACCAGCTGATCTCAGCGACCTGTGCCGGCCTTTCTGTGTGGAGTTTGCATGTTCTCCCGTGTCCGCGTGGGTTCCTCCCACCGTCCAGAGACGTGCAGGCAAGGTTTATTGGTGTCTCTAAAATTGTCCTTAGGTGTGAGTGTGACTGGTTGTTTGTCTCTGTGTGGCGACCTGTCCAGGGTGGACCCCGCCTTTCGCCCGATGTCAGCTGGGATTGGCTCCAGCAGGATAAGCGGTTGACGATGGACGGATGGACTTTAAGACGCTGACTGGTTCAGAAAAGAGACTTTTTTTAAGACAAGATTGAAACTGATTGTAAAAGATTCATTTTGAACCTCTTTATTTTATATGGAAAATATTACATTCAAAAGTGGAAATTACCACATTTTAAGAAAGAAATCACCATATTTAAACTTTATTTGGCCCAATGACTGGTAAAGCAATTAAACAGTTAAAATATGTAAAGATTTTAATGATTTTCTTAAAAGCCTTAGTTGCATTTTACCTCTTTGTTTAGCAACAAGTGTCCTGTTCTGTTATTCTGTTGTTTTATGTACTTTTGATTTGGCTAAAAATAAAGAGATGAATTCAAGATTCAATGAAGAAGAAAAACAGTGTAACCTCACCATCTTCAGCACTGTTTTATTCACACATTTACATGCTTGGTGTTTAATATTTATATTTTATATTACTGTTATTTATTGTTTGTCATACTGTGGTGTGTCTGTGATGTTCTCAGTCGTCCAGGTCTTAGTTATCCAAGGACGGTTCAAACCAAGGGCAGCTGGACCTGGTTGAGCCTCTTGATTTGAACAGACTGCTTTTATTGAAAGCTGTTCTGATGTGTTATTCCCTTCCTATAATTCTTTTCCAAGCTGTGGATTGCTGTCTGTTTGTCTGTTTTTGAGATGTTTACAGAAAAATGTTGTTGAAGCTAAATTAACTGTCCTTAATTTCAGAGTGCTGAAATGTATTTTCTCTGATTGTATTTAACATCTGCTGTTAATTTAATTTACTTGACTGTTAACTGTAACTGTGTATTATATTTTCTTTAATATAAGTTATGTGTTTTACGTCTCAGAATGATGGCCTTACTCATCACGTCTTGTGGTTTTCGGTAAGCTTTGTGTCTTCTGTATGTAACTTCATGTGTCTGTGTTGTCTCATTGCTGTGCTTCTTATTTCATTTGTTCATTTTGTTTTAGTTCCACAAGCGAAGCTTGAAGTGGAAGAAAACAGGTGCCAGATTCGAAGTATATCTTCCATGAACGTTAATAATTTATTACACTTACTAGAAGTAGCATAGCATTCCTTATGATTCAACAAAAATATGTGATGATAACTGCGTCAATGAGCACAGCAAAGTGTCTGAAAAGGACCTTTATGAGGTTGATGCATAATTCAGCAGAACAGATGATGAAGGCTACCTGCCCAGATTTGCATCCACCTCTTTTCTCAGTATGAATTAACATTACCACTGCGAGGTGCATGCAATTCTTGGCAGGCAGGCAGAATTTGGCACCGGTAGCTTGGGAGAAGTCCCAGTATGCAAGAAAATGTCCTGGTACGCTGAAGAGTAAAATCCTGGGTTGCTGGTAGGCCTACTGCGCACTGGCCCACTTCAAGCACTAAACATAAGTAATGCCAACACCAAATCTTGGTCTCTTTTATGTCTTCCTGCAAGTTTCCCTCTTAGGTCTTCTTTAACTGGCCTTAACCATTTTAGATTCGAGTTCAGTTTAGACTCCAACGCTACATCATATGTGTTGGTCAAAATACTGAGCTACTGTCACCTGATCCGTCGTCTCCCTAACAAGGTCAGTTATATGTGAGAGAAATAACGTGACATACATACAATATAACATACAGTTGTCTTGCCGTTCCCTGTTAAATGAACTAAGCCCCTGAGAAATATCTTTAACACCCTTTGTGTTGCGGTCTTTAACTTCCTGTTTTGGTGTCACAGATTGTCTTTCAACATTTTGTGTTTCACCATCAGTCATTTTGTTCACCCTTCCTGTTGTATTTAGTTGGACTGCTCTTTGGTTTCATTGCTGGTTCATTGTTTCTTACCTGTGTTTTGTTTTCATGTTCCGTGTCACAGGATTACTTCTCTTGTTTCTCCTGTGTCGATATTTCCTGTCGATTCAGATTCCTGGGTTTTTTTGCACCTGGTTTGTCTCTGGGTTACCTTGCTTTTGATTTTTATCCAGAAACGAGCAATTAGAAAATGTGCTGAATCGAAAATAGATTTTGATTCTCGATTCAAAATGGATTTGTGAGATCCTGAAATATTCTCACCCCTACTTGTTCTACTTGTTCTAATTGTTCTACTGAGCTTTCAAAAGTGAGAATATAAATGTGTGTGAAGAAAATCAATGCTGAAAATAAACACACAGGTTTAATAAAACTTCTCTGGATAAATAACAGTTCAACATGAATCAGTCAGATTTTAATGTGATGAACAGCTAAACTCTTTGAGTAGAGGGTTGTCGTCTTTTAAAATCATTGAAGCGATGCTTTGACTTGTCTTTCTTGAAGGACACACAGCTGGGTTCAGGTTCAGGTTCAGGTTCAGATCCAGGTTCAGGAGAGGCCGGTCGCCCATAGATCCTGTTAGACAGAAAGGAAAAAGGGATCAAAGTTCAATAAAACATGAAGCTGATGGATTTCAGTCTGTCTATCATCGGCTCATATCCAATATACTGGACCAAACCGGGGCTGAATTCAATCTCAAAACGTTTTGCACTGGTTTGGAACATTTTCGGATCGACATGTTTCCTTGCAACTTTGTTCAATGTTCTGCAACAGGCTTCGAGGTACGTTTTCTCCCATTAGGTGGGCGTGTCTCAGGTGTTACCCAGTCAGTTTGTAAACACAACGTTGTTAAAAAGGCAGGAAAATGCAGTACGCTTGCGTACACAGCAGGGTGTTGAGTGAACAACCGTTTCTGTTGAAAAAGACACGTTTTGTTGGTGCTGAACTCGCCCCAGAACTAATGTACTGATCTCTGAGCAGATCTTACTGACAGATCACAAACTAAACTGTTTCACCTGTTTGTATAACTAGACTCACCACAAATATCATGGAGTTATATATATAACTAAAGTTCAGGAACAGGACCATGCCTCTCTCTCACTAACCCAACCTCCTGCGCCTCATTCAATTCCTCCAATCCAGTCACCCGCACATACAAGCCTGTCTAATGCCTTTCTCTCCCGTTTCTCACATCCCTCCCCCCAAACCCTTTTTGGGGCAAGCCTTTCTGTGTGGTGTTTGTACGTTTTTCCCCGGGTTTGAGTGGGTTTCCCTCAGGTGCTCCTGTTTTCTCCCACTATTAAAGACATGCATGAAACACCATAATTGTGCCAAAGTAATACATTTTTTCTACAACAGGAGAAGGGTGATAAGCAAGCTCGAGACGAGCCCCCACACTGAGCAACACGACACCACATCCACATCGTGTCTCTTAGCTGCTGAGACTTATAAGTCTTCAGATCATTTTTCAAGGAACTTAAAGGTTCCTTCAGCCCACTGTTGCGTTTCCACCGTCAAGACCTGCCAAGATTAGGCAAATTAACTATCTGGCGTAGGCTATAGGCCTGTACGCCGTACAAAGCGATGCACAGGCATCATTATTTTTAACCACTATCCATGAGCAACATTTATTATTAATACAATTTAAATTTGATATAAATAAATACTGGAGTTGACCAGGTACCATCTAGGTTCTCAGAAACCGCCCAGGTGTCCCAGTCGATGTCGAGGCAGCGTGGATCGAGGAAGCTCTGGAGAAGAGGCAGCAGACGGGGGGGCTATGAAGGTGGGGAGCTGGATCTCCTTGTACACACAGCAGGAGTGACATTATATGTGTCATTATAAGTAGCCCTGAGCTGAGAAAAACAACAAACACATTCAAAGTAACATTCTGCTTTTATTGGAACAAGAGCCAGAATTCAAAGCAACACATGACAGAAGGTCCAAGTCAACGGCATTTCCACCATTTAATGATCAGAGCTTCTATCTTTAAAGGACTGGAAGTGGAAGAAGTTTACATGGAAATGAGGAATCTGTTCAATCACTTTGAATCACTTTGTACAAAGTTCATTGATGTATTTATTACAAGAAGCTGAAAGATTTCTGTGATCCTGTACAGACTCAACTGATCTGTTCTCTACCAGGAGGAGACTCTCCCTCCTACACAGAACACAGAGACACTGAGCAACCAGAACCAGACCAGGACCAGAACCTAAAGCCAGGATAAAGAGGTTCAGTGAATGTGGTGTTGAAGGTGTGGAGGTGGATCAGTGTGTCAGAGGAGACTCTGTAGAAGGACAGAGTGCCTGCAGGACAGTCCACATACGCTGCTACTCTGTTGGAGGAGGCGGAGAACGTTCCTCTCTTATTGTGACTGACAGATGATGAGTAATCACCATCATCAGAGCAGATCAGACTTCAGTGCCCCGTTTCAGAAAGTTTAGTGAAAATTCAGAGAATGTTCAACCTGAGATGAGGGGAAACTCTGGGTTTTCTGTTTCAGAGAGAGAGATCAGATAATCGCTAGAACTCCTGCAACTGATGCTGTGAACCTCAATAAATAAGAGGCTTCGATCACTTTCTGGCAAGAGGATTACTGCATGTTATTGGTTGTATTGGCCAAGTTATTTTAACAGATAAAAATGACTGGATTGGTCGGTATCCAGAAAGTAAAATAATGTAGAGTCATAAAGATAATTGCAAAAGAGATCATGTATTTATTTTATATATAACTCAGCAGTAAGTCATGTTAATTATAGGCTATAGACTGTTCCAAATATAAACAAGCATATTAGACATACGCCTACCAAACACATAATCCAGCAGCAACAACAGGCTTCTATTATTGCCTATAATCACGTAAATGTCATGTCTGGCTTCCCCATAAACTGCAAACATTTATTTGGCCACAATTGTGATTATTCCGTTAAAAGAAACAGTAAAGTTTCACAAAGACAAACCTTTTCTGGGCAATGCAGCTTATATTTGCTGCTTTTCGTCATGACACCTGTGTTTTTGTCGTCTCACACATGTGGCTGTGTGTAGCAGATACGTTGTTGTGTTACATAGGCAGGTTATAGGTAATGCAGGGAGCGGAATAACAGCAAGCTCATCGGACGTTTCCTAAAAATAAATATTGTTCATGAGTCCTGCACCTCGAATCCAAGTCAAGCCTGAAGTCTTTTGAGGACGAGTCACAAGTCAAGTCTGAAGTCACTGTGTTCTCTTTAGTGCGACTCGAGTCACACTAAAAAGAACACAGAGACATGGAGGAGGAATCTGAACCAGACCACCAGAACCCAAAACCAGGATAAAGAGGTTCAGTGAATGTGGTGTTGAAGGTGTGGAGGTGGATCAGTGTGTCAGAGGAGACTCTGTAGAAGGACAGAGAGCCAGCAGGACAGTCCACATACACTGCTACTCTACCAGAGGAGGAGGAGGAGGAGAAGATGTCTTTTTCTCTGCTGTTGTGACAGACAAATTGACCATCATCAGAGCAGATCAGACTCCAGGACTGATCATTCTCTCCAAACCAGCAATGAGCTCTGTTTCCTCTCCTTTTGATTCCTCTGTAACTCACTGACATTTTAAGTCCTCCTCTCCACTCGACCTCCCAGTAACAGCGACCAGTCAGACCATCTCTACACAGCAGCTGAGGACAGTAGTCAAACCTGTCTGGATGATCAGGATATGACTGATCCTCCTCCACATATGTTGCCTTCCTGTTGTTGTCAGACAGTTTGATCTTTCTGTGTACTGTGTTTGTGTCGATTGTGAGTTCAGAAGAATCTGATGGAGAGAACGAGACACAATACAGCTGCAGTTATTGATCTATCATCTGTTCTTTGATTGACACTTTGACAATGACATCAGAGCTTTGACTGAGTGATGTCACAGTCTGAAGATGGTTGAATGTGTGCTGCTTTGTTTTCATGAATCAAATGAAAAACACACTTACACTTTCTCAGACCTGGTCTCAACCATCGGACTCCAGCAGGCTCGACCCTGAAAGGAGGAGGGGGGTCAGACCAGCACATCCTCTTTCAGCATCAAACATGGACATTACATTCCTCTCATACACATGTACAAAATATGTGCTAATGTATAATATATGCTTCTCCCTGCCCCCCTAAACCTTCAACTCTGCCACTCTCCTCATACACTGAGAGTGACCCATAGAATGTTGGTGTGTGTGTCGAAAACATCTGATAACACACACAAACCTCATTTTGGATCATCACATCTCCAACTTCAAAAGCAGCCCTTGTTCCAGACCTCCAGAAGTCTAGTATTCTAATATTCTCAAAATATTAGACTAAATGTCAAGCTGAGAACAGCCTTTAATCTCTCAGTCTAAAGTTGACTGGAAGGCTAAAGTGTGGTAGGAAAATGTGCACAAGCAACATGGACCGCAGCTTCACAAGGAGTGGCCTGTGGCTGGAGTCATGCTGATTTCCTTTTCCAGCAGGACTTGGCACTTACCCACAGAGCCAAAATGACTAGTAACTGGTTTGCTGACCATGGTATTACTGCGCTTGGTTGGCCATCCAACTTGCCTGAACTGAACCCCATACAGTATCTATGGGGTATTGTCAAGAGGAAAATGAGAGACACCAGACCCAACAATACAGACGAGCCAAAGGCCGCTTTCCAATCAACCTGGGCCACAGGCTAATTGCCTCCATGCCGTGCCACCGTGATGCAGTATTTCAAGCAAAAGGAGACCCGACCAAGTACTGAGTGCAAGTTCAAATGAATTAAGTTACCAACATTCACTTTTCTGCCAGTGGGCGACAGTTACTATTATTACTAGGAGTCCGGAATATCAAGCAATTTCATAGGAGGACAATCCTTGCCCCAGTGAAAAGGGATGATTTCTACATGTGCTGGGTCTCTCCCCAGTGGAACTGTTAAAGGGATAGTTTGGGACTTCTGAAGTGTGGGTGGATGAGGTACTTATGCATAGTCAGTGTATTACTTGCAGTAGATGGCGGTCAGCATGTTCCCACTTTGAAGAGTTGTACCGGCACAGAAGCTAAGCAATGTACTGCTACACGTTCAGCAGAAAAATCTTTTTTTCTATTTTTGTCACCTAAAAGTAGGCCCACTGGAACAAAAATCTAAATCTGTTCAAATATACGCTATGTGTTTTATGACTATGAAGATTCTCAGTCATGCAGGTCATAGTTATCCAAATAAGGTCAAAATTAAGGGCATCTGGGCAACATCTTTGTGTATCTTCAACCAAGTCCAGTTGCCATTTCATTTTAACCTTCCTTGGATATGTGTTTAATATTTTCTGTGGTTTATCTTGCCGTCAGACAGACATTTTATTTATACGGTTTATGGCCAGGTTACACTTATGTGCAGTAATATGGAAGTTCTGTAGTTAAAAAATGTAGTTCTTAATGAAATAGCTTTCTGACAACATAGTAAAGTGCTGAAAATATAGCACATACACTTGATACATACTGATATTGATTTTATTTCGGTGTGCCTTCTTTTAGGTGACTAAAAAACATTTTGCTTAGCCGTATGTAAACATTATTTGTCATTTTCTGCTTTTCACAGACACAGATCAAGTCACAAATGGATTTACAAAAACATTAAAAGGGGCTATATGTAGTTTTCAGCGGCCATTAACAGCAGTTTTTAGATTGCCGCCAGCAAAGTAAATGATCAATAGATCATGTTAGATCAGATATCATAGACTGGTCAGAGGAATGCAAGGCCCTACATTCCAGGGTGGTGCACAGTATTTATTCATGATAATATTTTTTTAATATTAACACTTCTATATCTAGAATATCTTTGATATTCAGCTAATAACCACAACACCTAACTAGAGAATTCTCACGCCAAAGTCTTATCAGAGATAGTCTCTGTCACCTCTGCAGATAGTAGCAACCGTGAACTGTCCAAACTGAATAATCAATTATTACCAAAAGGCAATTATCATGATTGTTCCTGGAGAGGTTTTCACCAGTGCTTTTGTTCTGATCAAAGGAAAAATGCTTCCTAAGTGTGATTGTTCAAATAACACTCATATCCACCACTCAACAAAAATACCTAATTTCTAATTGATTGTCTATGGCTGCAGCAGGCCTCTTCATACCTGAGCGTGTCCAGTCTCCAGTGTGGACCCTCTAGTCCAGCAGACAGAAGTTTCACTCCAGAGTCTCCTAGATGATTGTAGCTCAGGTCCAGCTCTCTCAGATGGGAGGAGTTGGAGCTCAGAGCTGAGGCCAGAGATGCACAGCCTTCCTCTGTGATCAGACAGCCTGACAGCCTGCAAACAAACAAAAAAAACCCCCACATATGGCAGATACAGAAGAAAACTGTCTCCCAATAAATTAAAAATAGAAATGTAATACAATTACATTATTAATGACATTAACATTTTATTAATGACATTAACATTAACAATTGAATTGCGATCTAAATGTTATAGAGTCTACAATCATACTAGTAGCTACAGTGGATAGAAAAAGTTACTTATGCAACCAGGTTATTGTAAGGTTTTTATTTTTAATTTTTCCCCCACGAAGATTTCAGTTTGTTCACATTATAGGTCACATTAAAGGTGGGAAAAGTTCTGACATGATTTATCTTTGTCTCATTATTTTATCATATGAACCTGGCATTTAACAGGGGTGTGTAGACTTTTTCTATCCACTGTATGTGAGCTTGTAATTAGACACATGGGTGTTTTTAGCGAAATGTGTCTATTTATGCCCCGAGGGGCAATGTGGGTGCACTCTTGGAACTGTCCTGTAGTCTTGCAAGGTGCTCTGCTCAGCTCTGGTTTTAGGTCTGACCATAGATGTGGTTTCCTTGTGTGAAAAGACTTTAGCCAGACTTTACTCAGGCTTGTGTAATTCTATGCAGGACGGAGACAGTTCTCATGCTGTCCTGGTCCCAACTTATAGTATTTTATATTATTTCAACCTGCTGCACAGGCTTTGATTGTTGAATCTTGCTGAATTTCATGGTTTGGAGGTGTACCAGATAAGCATCTCCCTCTCCTGCAGTGAGCACCGACCAGGGACCAGTGTTTCGTGGTGGGATGTAGTAGAGCTGACCGGGGCTTAAGGTCTAGCCCCAAACTGGACGGAGACTAGAGGAGGGGCATCAGTAGCATGACAGTGAGCAATGACATCAGAGTCTGGATTCTGTGAGCAGTGACATCAAATTCACAGGCACAGGTTGTGTCTGTTAGTGCTGGAGTTTTTCAGCTTCCTAGATTTGGTCTGGCATGGAGATTATTCATCCAGCTCTGCAATCTTATCAGCCAGACAGGTGCAGCTGACACAGCCGGATGGAGATGTGAGTGGAGCCATGGATTGTAGATGGGGTGGCTTGGAAACAAAAATAACTAAATAGGGAGGCCAGTACAGGGTTAAGATTACACAAGTTTAGAGATGAGTTGTGGTAGCAGCTGCAGACAGTGTGGGCCCAGGCACTTACACGTGGGGGATCCAACTTGGAGTGTTGCAGGGAAAGCTGCTCAAGTAGGCAGAACAGTCTTGAGGTGGTTGGATCCCCCAGTCTGCATGTCAAAGTATCCTTGGGCGAGGTACTGAACCCCACATTGCACTCTTGAACCATTCCCTTTTGGGGGATTATCTTGCTGTTGCCCCTGCAGTGCACTGATCTATAATGGCTTTAGCTTCTGGACAGATTAACATCCCCAAAGTTTAACTGAAGTTATGTTATAATGTGATGATTAAGTGTCCCCTTATTTTCTTTGAGCTGTGTATTTTTCTTTGTTATATGTCTAAAGGCCTCTTATGAATATTGCTTGTTTTTTGTTTTTGTCAATTATTTTTGTCTTGTTGAAGTAAGATTTCTGTGTACACTATGTTACAAGATACCGATATATAGAGTTATCCATCTAAAGTTTAGATGGCATGGTTAAAGAAAATTTTGTAGCTCTGTAAATAGCCTAATCTGCTCAAAACTGTGTCTCTCTGCTCTGTCTGTCTATTGAAGAGAGTGGGCATTTGGGCCTGTGTGCCTGCTGCAGTGTGTGAGCAGATAAAGCTCACCCAGAAAGAAGGCATGCAACAGCAGAAAGCTGAATTCAACTGCAGAGTGCAGCAGATAAAATACTGAATCAAGGAAAAGTGCAGGCTAGATAGACCACTTACCATATTTAGTGGATGGTTGGGACAACGGTGTATTTGTGTATGTTAAAGAATTTTCTTAGGTGTCTTAATTGATGTAACAGGGAATGGTAAGACAGGTCTATCTTAGAGACATTAGTTGACCCCACAAGTGTTCGGTGTTCTCTGGGAATCTTACAAGGTTGTGTCTTACAAGAATATTTACAAGTACTCACTGGCTCCACAGTACAGTACAATCAAGATCACAGTCCAACTCATGGATAGAATAGATTCCAATATGATGAAGCATTGGAGTCCAAACATAAGATAGATTTGTTGTTCTAGGTTAAGGCCAGCTAAAGATGAGAGAAACCTACAGGGACTAGGGGGAAGACAGAAACAAAAAGGGGACCAAACGATGTTATCCTTCAGATTTGGTGTTCGCATTTGACGTATTTGCATGTTGTACGCTGGCGCTGTATCTCCTCGGCCAGGCTCAATAAACCATGCTATGTTAAGTCTTCGTCGATCTGTGAAACTTCTTCCCTTCACTAACTGAACCTGGCTCACAATATTTCTTCAACAGTGTACATTTCCAGTTGTTTGCTGTCCTAACTCCACACTAAGTGGGCATTTGGTCTCCGAATCATGGATACAAAGCATTTATCGTGAATTCTGCTGAATCCAGCGAAATATGGCAAGAGCATGATATGGGCAAAGGATGAAGAACTATATAAATGCACAACATCTCATTCGAATGTCAGCATGGGTTTTCCTTGTCAGAGAATAAAATCCTATGTGCATCAATCACTGAACGTCTTCCGTGAATCTTCTGGACTCAAATTGCTGTGTTTTTTGCTGACAGTAATGTAAATGTAAGTAAATGTTGGATAAGAGTTCAGACTTTCACCTGGCCTAGTCCTGGGAACATTCTAAGCCATCTAAAATGTGTGGGTTTACACGCTTAGTCTGTCAATGATAGTGTTTTGTATAGTACAATAAGTAGTAGTAATAGTAGCATAAGTACTACACTAAATTATGTCTCCATTTTTACTATGTCTAAAAATATTGATAGATAAATATAAATTGTGTATCAACTACAGCATTGCTCTATTTATTTCCTGTAATATGATACCTGAAGAACGCCACTTATTAAGTCCCTTGAGGTCTTTTTTAGGCAATTTTCCTTTAGGCATTTGGTCATAAACCAAAGTATTCAACACATTAACATGGTGTTGTTGGATGAAAAGTCAGAGGATCACCGAAGTTATTACAGTTTATCCTGAGGGAACATCAACGTATGACCCACATGTAATTACAATCCATACAATAGTTTTTGAGATATTTCAGTCAGGGCAACAATAGTGCACCGACTGACAGGCCACATTATCTTCCATAGGGTCACACTGTTGGAATGGTTACAAATATTAAAGTACGAGTGCAGCTTTTGCCAAAAGAGAGCAAAAAACCATGTCAAAAGTGTGACTTAACGGTGGTACGTCAAAGACACCACCAGACATAGACAATCAATCTGCTCTTCAGCAGCAAGATAATTTAGAGTCTAGAAACTACTGCTGAAGTTTAGTTACATGTCCTTCGACATACTGTATCCTACGCAATCCTACCCCAACTGTTTATACACTAATGCAAATGCCATCAATTGACTGGGTAATTGAATCCTGACCTGAGAGTTTCCAGTTTACAGAGTGGACTCTCCAGTCCAGCAGACAGCAGCGTTACTCCTGAATCCTGCAGGTTGTTGTTACTCAGATCCAGCTCCCTCAGACTAGAGGATTGGGAGCTGAGAACTGAGGACAGAGTTCACAGCTTCTCTCTGAGAGGTTACATCCACTCAGCCTGGAAAGACGACAGAAAGGAAACAAGTAATATGTTATTTCTTTTTTCTTCTTTTGGAAGATAGCAGTGTAATTACTGAATATATCCCACTTACAGAGCTTTCTTGGAGGCTTTGATCACTGGCAGCAGCCTCAGAAGAGCCTCCTCTGAAACAGAGTATTTCTTCAGGTCAAACACATCCAGATCTCTTTCTGATGACAGTAAGATGAAGACTAGAGCTGACCACTGAGCAGGAGAGAGTTTATCTGTGGAGAGACTTCCTGAATTCAGGGACCGTTGGATCTGCTCCACTAGAGAACAATCCTTCAGTTCATTCAGACAGTGGAACAGATTGATGCTTTTCTCTGCAGAGGGAGTCTCTTCGATCTTCTTCTTGATGTACTCCACTGCTACCTGATTGGTTTCTGAGCCACTTCCTGTCTGGGTTAGCAGGCCTCGTAGGAGAGTGTGATTGGTCTGCAGTGAAAGTCCCAGGAGGAAGCGGAGGAACAAGTCCAGGTGTCCATTTGGACTCTGTAAGGCCTTGTTCACAGCACTCTGGTAGAACTGTGTCACTGCAGATTCATCTTTCCTTGTTTCAGACTTCGGGGAGGTTGTTTGTTCTTCTGCCAACAGGTTGACACCAGAGTTGATGAAGGTCAGATGGACATGAAGAGCAGCCAGAAACTCCTGAACGCTCAGATGGACGAAGCAGAACACCTTGTCCTGGTACAGCCCTCTCTCCTCTTTAAAGATCTGTGTGAACACTCCTGAGTACACTGAGGCTGCTCTGATATCGATGCCACACTCTGT